ATGCTCATCCTACATTGGTTGATCTTTGGTTCTGCCCATACTCATTGAAGTATGTAACAGTACCACAGCTAGGACCTAGATGAGAGAGAAGGGACTACCTGGAATGAGTCAAGGGCAGCCATAGCTGCCAGTTGTATTCAACTCGGAACTATCTCATATTCTTTTCATCTCGTTGGTCGTATGTGTCCAAGCTTGGTATGGTTTAATTGCAAGCATGCTGTACAACAACTGGGTGACAAATTGAGTGGGATCATTTCATGTGTATTTGGGTGTAAAAGGGGTTGTTATAGTGATTGTTTATAACACACACAAACACATACACAAAGGAAGGGGCAGGGGAGGGGGGGCGTGCATGCACGCACACACACACACACAAAGCAGAAAAGAGTTTCCACACACAAACCAAAGTCATGACAAAAATTCAACTGAACCACACTACAGGAGGGGACACAATTGCAATTGAGTGCATCCCTAAACCCTTGACCCTTCCCTCTCTGCTCCAGTGTTTACCTAGGAGGACTGAGGTTCAAGCACTTAAGAAGGAAACAGCTCCAGATTTGAAATGAACCTGGTCCAAAATAGCAGACCAAAGTTTGTGGAAGGTTCGCATGCACTTATTCTGGTGGCTAATGACAATTACTCAGCGTAATATACACACACCTGTCCTGTGGTACACCTCCCGGTCTTCAGTTCCAGCGGCATCACCTGCACAGATGTCTCCACTGGCTGTGGATAATTTGATGAATGTGACCGCACAAGAACTGAGGCATCTATCATCCCCTTCAGGCCATACTTTGGAGCCCAGACATTTTCTTCAATGTCCGTGACCTGCCAGCCAAAGATCATTCACAAGACAGCCAAAGTGTTATTTCTACTTATTAGCACAACTCAGGGAATAAAAGAATAGTCAAGAACCCAATACAACATCTCAGAATGAACTACAAAACTAGGCTTTTTCTATATATAAATAAAACACCCACCAAGTTTGCTAGGAGTGATGGTTAGAGCATTCACCCCTAGCAGCTTGATTCATGGCTCCGGTCTATTGGTGGGGAAAGCATCTGCTGGAAAGCGGGTCCAGCGTCCCTCATACAATCAGAAAATTGTTTGCTTTGTGTGACAATACTGACAAGTGAGCTGAGGCCTGCCTCTTCAGTCCTCTCAGGACCACCAGATATAACCTGACATTTCTACCCTCCCTATACTCTGACTAAGATTATGACAAGTATCATCACGTCCTTTTTCCTTAGCGTGCTTGACCAAACCACTGCGTATCCACAACTGCAATTGCTGAAGGTGGGAACAAATCTGGAAAGTCTTCAGGAGGTCTCAGCTGAGCCCCTGATTGAGTCACCATAAAGATGCGATGACAATCTTGGGGGGCAACAGTACCCTCTCTCCCTGGCCATGACACATGACACAGCCGCCCCCCAGTCCCCACCCCAGCCAGCCTTTTGAGGACTTTAGAATTGTTCTTTGAATATAGGCTATACGATAGGAAAGAAGAAAGTGGTCATAGACGAGCTTATGAAAAGAGAGTTGGTGGGAAACGAACCCCAACACTGACCTGTAACTATCAGAGAAGTTAGACTGGAAAGGCATAGCATAGCATAGCCATGCCCTTCCACGGTAGCTACTGTTTGACCAGAGGAGGAAAGAAGATTTTCAAAAACGCACTGACTGTAAATGAGTGTCTAACCAGAGGAAGAGAGAAGTTGACAGATCTATGGAAACAGCATGGCGAGGCAGTCGAGCTGCTCACCTTAGGCTCTAACGAGGTTGGTCAGCCAATTGAAAGTAAATCGGGCGAGTAGTACGAGTACTAGCATATCAGCGTCATGTATTTCATGCTCTCCTCTTTCGAGTCGAGCCACTCGCCATAGGCTCTAACCAGATCCATCCGTCAATTGAAATCTGAAATTGAATTGGGAGAGTACAGGAGTCAGGCGCTCCGAGATCTATGAATCAAATCTGGAACTCGGATACAAAAACGAGGATCTGCTTCTCTGTCTAGTAGCTTGCGAAAAAGCAAGGATAGCATGGGGAAGGATTCAGGACGTTTGGCAGGAGATCACAGGCGCCGATTGCTGTCTCAGTCTGTTCTCCTCCTGAGCATTTACCATACAGGCCTTTCCTCTAAACGTTTACAAGGAACCTCTTTTACCTTTTGCAAAAGGCCACCTGATGGGAGATTCCGAAGGGCTGTTGTGCAGGTACTGTGGGCGAAAAGGCATGGTCTGTCACCGATTATCTTATCATCATTAAGGAGGAGATTGAGACGAACATAAGATCTTGTTGGAGGCACTGCAATTAGCAAATCATGATCCGCCCTGAAAAAAAAGCAAACCATGAACGAAAAGTTTGCAGTAGTTTGTATGTGATAACACAGGGCATGAGGCGATGGTAGAGATACAGGGAAGAAAATTTTCTGGGAGGCTCCGGGTGGTTGTCGGGATGGACATTTCAGGCAATCGGGTCCTAGTGTCAGTGAAAATGGAAAGTTGGAGCCAGGGAATACCAGGCCTGGAGAAACAACATACAAGATTAGGCTGCTCCTAAGGACAGACTGGTTGAGTTCCACACACTTATTTGGCCTACGTGTACGTTTCCCAGCTATTTGGCCTACTGATAGTACTGAACAGAAAAGGCTGGCGGAGCCAAGCAAAAGGACGCAATCCTTACCCGCGCAAATTCGGCAAAACTTGGCCCCTGGCAGAGATTGGCATCAGAAAAAAGAGGATCAGACGTACTGGTGGTTTAAGTTGGGTATTGGAATGGAAAGTGAATCACTAAAAGGATGAGAAGAAGTCTTCCAAGGTACGAGTTGTACGATATGGAGCTCCTCCTCTCAGCTGTTCTATACACACAGAGTCTGTTTTTGATCCTTTCTAGTTTGCAGGGTTGGAAGGGGTAATTCTTCAGAGGTATGAAACGTATGGCCAATTTAGATAGTCAAGCCTCGATGACTTGAGGAATCAGTGCTGTAACAAGGGAAAGTGTTGGCACGAGTTGCAGCCAAAACAATTCAAAATATCTTCTCACGAGGTTTACATGTTCAAGGAGAGACTCAATTTCCAAGCGCAACGAGTTCTCATAACCAGTATGCATATGACAACCAGGCAATTGGAAGAGATGACAAAGCGATGACCACAGCAGTACAAGAATCGACCATGTTGAGGTCTCCTGATCGTAACCAGTATGCATATGGCAGCCAGGCAATTGACAGAAATGACAAAGCAATGACCAAAGCAGTACAAGAATTGACCGAGTTGAGGTCTGCTGATGACGAAAAGCCCTCTTCTCACATCCCAAATCTCAATGTAACAACAATAATCAATCTCTGCTCTCGCAGGTCTCACTACCAGCCTATGTGATCATCGACTCCATTTACTAGCCTATCCTACACTATGCCAATTTACAATGCCGAACAGTACAGTGCTGCTCCCACCAATGCCTCTACGAAGAACATACCATGCTGGAGCTGTTCTTCGCAACCACCAGGAAGTCCCTGCCAGCTCTCACTCTCCCTACAGCCTTCCCCTTCCTCCAAGGACCTCCCGTCCTTGCACCACCTCTCCCAGCACCAAGATGGATGGCGCTGCCTCTCCTCTTAGTCCCTGACGCTCCGGCTAGCGGTGCCCTTCATGCACCCGTGCACTCGAGCAGCCGCATGCCTGACCAGAACCTGCTGCTGGTTCTGTGGCCTCTCCCTATATATGGAGGTTGGGATCCGTACCCGGTCAGTAGGCAGTGCCTTCCAAAGAGTCCGGATTCGGCTGCAGCATACCAAGGTCCAGGAAACTGGTCTGGCCCGGCTCTTTTCCAAAACTGACCGGGCCCTTCTCTTTTCTGTGTAGGCCAAGCCGTTCATTTTGCAGTGTGTATACGGCTGCAAGTTCCACAGAAAGGGGGTTGGTACTAGTAACTTCATAATTGAAAACAACAATAACATGACCTTTCAACTCCAAGCCATAAATAAACATGATAAGCTTGATCAGGATTACCTCAACCGAATGAAGGCATTACCTCGGCAACACAAAGATTAGCTCTCTTCTCTCGGCTGAAGCACACAACTCCCTCTGGTTTTGGCTGTTAGCAAAGGTACAGAAAGAACCAGTCAACAATAAGGCTGGCCAAACAAACAAAATACTTGAGAACAGTCAACAATAAGGCCGGTCAAACAAACAAAACACTTGAAAAAGATTTTTTCAAAACAAACTTTCAAAGAGTTAAGACCGAAAGAGAACGCTTCAATGAATTGTGAAGTTGTAAACACCTCATGAGAGGGATTGCTTGAATTTACATCTCACAGAGATCGCAAAAGTGTTTACACGAGTGCACGCACTTGTGCATTGCCGTTCTAACCCTCCTTCTGCTCAGGTAATGATAAAACCTTCAAAAAATAACATAAACGAAACAATATCACAACATAAGTAATGACCCACCAAAACACAGACTGAGAACACTGCTGAGTTTGCTAAGCCTGTGTGTGTGTTTGGGTGCTTGCTGGTTCGTGTGCCTGCCTGAGTGCTTGTCGGTCTGAGTGTGTGTGTGGCCCACAAGGCACTTGTTTTTTTGGAAGGCCCACGGGGGCCAGTACTTACCTGTGGCCGTGACTTTGAGGGTTGCAGCGGGGAAAACACTCAAGTGGTGGAGGGTAGCCACGTGACACTTAGGGAAGCGGCGAAAAACACTCAAGTAGCAGTAGATGTGTCGGGAACTGGAGGCCGCAAAGAAAAAGAAAAAAAGTTAGCATGTTTAGAGGCCCAGTAGCGGTAGGCCTAGAGGGAGGCGGGTACCAGTCCAAGCAGCTGAAGTCTAGGGCCTGTGTGGACGATATCAGCGCCTGCAATGATGTTTCCCTCCGAAAAGGAAGAGGTGTCGGTTGCTTGGAGGTCGCGTGGCCTGGAAGTCACCACCCAAGTGGCAGGTAGACCGCTGTATCTCCAGGAGGAGCAAAGTGCTCCTCCTCATTTGCGGTATGCAAGTTTGCGCATCATGCTGCTTCAGTGGGCGCTAGTCTTCAGAGTGCCGCTGGGGAGAGGAACGTTGGGCAGAGTAGCACTAGGAGGAAGAGGGTCGAGATCTCCCACCTTGGCTATGGTGGAGTTTAACCGGTAGGAGGAGGGGGGGAAATAACTCAAGTAGTGGTAGATGTGTCGGGAACTGGAGGCCAAGCAGAAGAAGACTAAAAGTTAGCATTTTTAGGGGCCCAGTAGCGGTAGGCCTAGAGGTAGCCAGGTAGCAGTCCAAGTAGCCTGAGTCTAGGGCATGTGCGGATGATATCAGAGCCAGCAATGATGTTTCCCTCCGAAAAGGAGGAGGTAGCGGTTGCTTGGAGGCCACAAGGCTGGAGGTCACCGCCCAAGAGGCAGGTAAGCCGATATCTCCAAGAGGAGCGAAGTGCTCTTCCTCATTTGCAGTAGGCAAGTTTGGGCGTCATGCTGCTTGAGTGGGCGTTAGTCTTCAGTGTTCCGCTGGGGAGAGGAGCGCTGGCCAGAGCAGCGCTAGGAGGAGGAAGAAGGCTGGGAGCTCCCACCTTGACTATCATGGAGCTTCACCGGTAGGGGAAGGAGGAAGAAGGGGACCAGGGAGCAGATCACTGAGGTCTTACCCGGCTATGGTGGACGCCATCTTCATCACCTTGTTAGGCACTGCAGTTGGAAGGCCCCAGTTGGGGTAGCGCCGCACCAAGAAGACTTCAAGGCAGAGTCAGGCATGGCCGCCTAAGAAGCAGTGGCCATAGCTGCTTTGCGTTGTCTTTTGCATGCCAGGGTTAGGCCCTTAGTAGGCCGCCATAGACTCGGCCTGGTTGGAGAGAACGAAGAGGGAGGCCATGGCTATGGTGGACCTCTGGTTATGCCAAGCAGTAGAAGAGGGATGCGGACTTCGATTCTGGTTCAGCCATTCACCAATTTTATTATTATTCATTGTTGAATAAGAGAGGGGGCAATAACGAGGAGGAGTTGCTTGGCGAGAGAAGGGGAGAATTGTCATTGGTCTTTTGCTAATGTACATCTTCTTCTTCTTTCATCTCTCTCTCCTCTCAAGTTCATTCATTTCTTTTGAAATCGGACAGCCTTGTACTCTCTTGAGAATTTTTCACTTTGAAATTGGCCAGGATCGTAATGCAAACCAGTTAACAGCCACTGAGCTCCTCCTTATTCTGTCAAGCTGCCTACCCCACTCAATTTGCATTTTGGAAGTCTCCACTCTCCGGTGTCATGTGGCTCTCCCAGCAATGCCCACGGTTATGTCCCTCCTCCTAGTTGATTGAGCTGATGTTGAAATGAAGGCAAGCTCCATGTGGAGTCTGATATGCAACGAAAAGAGACCGGTCAGGCATTTCAATATAAGGCAAACAATATGGATGACAGTCAATCCTTCTCTCATGAGAAATAGATTCAAATAATTATTACTGTTATCCCTCGCTCATACAAACTTTGCATTTATCATTTGCCACGGGAACAGGAACCGCAATGACGCTCCCCAGAACATACAGCAGGCATGATAACATGGCCATGTTGTGAGGAGGCAAGGGGGAAAGCGGAGGGTGGGAAGCTACGGAAAACGCAGGTAGCACAGACACCAACCTCTGGAGAGAGGAACTTCTGTTTCCAGTGGAGAATTTGTGGTATACTGCTACATATTTTTTCCAGTGCGCCCAGCTCGTCCTCTGAGCACGCATGCAACACAGAAAAGTGACCAAGAGCACAACAAAAGAAGCATTCAACATGATGAGAAAAATTAACAAAGAAAGCAACCTGCTGAGAAAGATCAATAAAGAAAACATGGGAAAAAGTGACGACGTCTATTTTGCCAAGCCGGGCGGCTGTGCGTGGCAAAAACTCAGGTCCCTTTGGGCAGTGGGTTTTTTCTGCGAACACCCAGATGATCTCAAATCTGTTTTTTTTTTCCTTTTGGGTCTTTCAGGATTGAAGGGGGTGTGGGTTCTCGGGGGATGGATGGATGGATGGATGGATGGATGGATGGATGGATGGATGGATGGATGGATGGATGGATGGATGGATGGATAAATGGTTCCATGTGAGATGATTGAATTTTTTGTTTTTCCAATCATCTCATCAGCACACCCAACCATTTGATGGATGGCGGAATGGATGGATGGATTTTTTTCTTTCTTTTACCACAGTCGATATGATGGCAAGCAGCATGAGGAGGGGAGTAAAAGAAGCACAAGGAGGAGGAGGAGGATGGAGTAGTCGTGTGACGTCGGGCAAGATTGCATGATGGCCTCTCTCTCTCTCTCTCTCTCTCTCTCTCTCTCTCTCTCTCTCTCTCTCTCTCTCTCTCTCTCTCTCTCTCTCCTTTCTGCCCCCTACATCTGTCTCTCTTTCCTCCTGTCTCTCCTCTCCCTTCCCTTCTATCTCCCTGCCCAATTTCTCTGTCTCTGCCTGCGGAAAGAAAAGCACACTATCCATGCAAAGCAATAACTAACCTCTGATCGCATAGAGTCCTTCAATATGATTGTTGATGATTCTCCGAGCTTCTTCCTGAAGGAGGCCATGGGTACACCCTTCCTTTCTGAGAGCAAACTGAAACCAAATCAAAGCAACAAGCCATTCTAAGAATCCCATATCAAAAAAGGGGGGGGGGGAGAACACAAGTAGGACCAGCGCGGACTCCGCTTGCAAGAGAAAACAAAAACGTTCATGGGGATGAAAATCCGAATCTGAAAGGGAAATTTTATGCAACAAGAAAGCATGGCTACATTCAGGACATCCAGACGAGTGTCCGAACAGTCAGGCTGTCTGTGGCCCAAAAACCATACATCCGCAGCCCTTTTTGGAGTAATTGGAACGCGGTCGAATCCCATCATTTTAAGAAATAAAATTTTTAAAAATCACAGGTTTTCATTTTTCAAAAAACAATTCTGAAAAATCGATACATTGTGCAGCATCTCAATACGAACAACCTTTTTTTTTTTTTTTTAATTCCCCGGCCTCTTTTATTCTGGGGGGCATCAGTCCAGTTGCTTATCCCCGGCAAGCATGAGTACAAAGAAAACGAAGGCGGAAGGCTGACGGTCCTTTTTTTTTTCTTTTTTTCAACGTCAGGGTGTTGTAGACGCAGGGTATCAGGCCCGGGAATACTCCCCGGGGTTCAGTCACTCGAAGTTCGGTATGACCCACTTGGCCCTCTGGACCTTCATAGACAGAGTACTCTACGGGCTTAGAGTGCTAAGTCCTATCGCAAGTTGTGTCCCTTCCACACCATACAGCTTGCCACCAGAGATCAGATTCTGTCCCTATACATGTGGTGCATCACATGCCCGCAAGTTGCGCACGTGCGCATATGCGCGCACATGCGCAGCTGCACCACAAGTGCGAAAATAAAAAATAAAAAAATTGAAAAGGGCGGGCAGTGGGAGCCAAACGAAACCCTCCCTTCTGAAAATTCCAGGTGCACAGAAAAAGAGAATTTTGGCCTCGTCATACTCATTGGATTTCCAAAGGGCCCCCAGAGGAGAACTAAAGGGTCCTCTGGGGGGACATTCATTACATTGCAGCTAGGACACGATCCGACCATCAATATATAGCCTGGATTCGAATTCAGGTCTGTGTTCCAGGAGTTATGGGTTATTAACTCGCTACTAATACTACAGTAGCTCTCTCTTTTTCTTGTTTTTCCTTGTCTTAGGTGCAGTGGTCGTAAGGGCCTCACTCCACCAGTCACGATGGCGGCGCATGGTTCCATGTTCTAGCAGAAGATTCATGCACATTTGGTGAGAGTGAAGCCCTGAAAATTACGTGCTGAGTTAGTAAGTTAGTAACCCATAACTGCTGAAATACGGACCTGAATTCGAAGCACCGCACGGCGCACCGCACACATGTGCCGCAAGTATGGTCGCTACAGATCCAAACTCGAACTGGATGTATTACAGGCCCCCAAACATTGACTTAGCAGATCCCTAGCCGATCCATCCTCGGACAGGCGTAGAGGGCCTACCTCCCTCCTACTAATGTACAGTAAACACCACCCCTGATCCACCTATCCTACATACTACTCAGGAGACAGGCTCAGTACAAGTCCTACCCGAGCTACACTTTATCGGCGTCCTCTCTACTAGTCCCTCCAGCCCCTATACTGATCTCATAGCCTACCCTTGCTTGGTCCCTGGACCCTGAGGACCCTGATGATGGGGCTATGAGAGTACCCAAATATCTATGCACTGCCTAGAGACGACCAGCCAGTCAGGTGGTCCTAATCCATGACTTGCACCTGCTGGTCATCAGGCAGATTCTAACTATTTGGACTCAGGTAGTATTTCTACCTACGATGTGATTTCCCACCCACCCCCGCAGTCTCCGCAGGTGGCCCATAAGGCCACTTTGTATGTGAGTCAACTACTTCCCTTGAACGGCTAGCTACCCGTTAAGCAACCTGAACCATTCAGCCCTACCTACCACAAGGTTCCTGTACCCCGTCCCCCCCACACACCCCAGACATAAGACAGCCTTTTTACCCCCCGTGGTTCGAGACGCGCACGAGGGGGAACACACCTAGACATACTACCCACTGTGTCACTCCCGTCCCATTATGAAGGCCCCCCCCATGGTACCCAGATGTCTAGAGAGAGACCTCCCTAGGGAGAGGAAGGGAGTAGCAGACCTAGGGTTCTCTGGGCCCACGTACTATCCTCTAGTCAAGTCCTTACTACATGCCAGTGAGGTTCAAGCAGGGTTCGAATGGGGGTTCTTAATGTTCATCCCTCTGACTAGCACTGATGAAGTCGCTGTGCAAATTCTAGCAAGGCCCCCAGCCTCCTACCATACCCCGGCTATGGAGGTTGGCGCTGTCCTTCCTCAACCACCTGGAGACCAGCAGCAGCTTCAATCATGTCAGCGCCATGTAAGTTTGGGTAAGCTTCCCACTCATGTTCCTCCTGTCCGTCTCACAGACCTGATCCTCCTCCTCGACCACTATCTCTTCTGAAGCTATGGTGGCTATGGCCACTCCACCAGCACCTTCTTCCTGGCTGGCACCCACATCCAGCACCTGCCGACAACTTCCCTCTCCACCAGCCTTGCGAGCAGCAACTTGGCCGCAGGCAAATGCAAGGCAGAATGAATCTCCCCAGGGCCTGGCCATCTTCTTATAGTGTTGACTGACATTGACCAGCCTCCCGCTTGAGCGCATCGACGGCCCAGTTTCTCCTGAAGTGGATGGCCTGGATGCACTGTTGACCCAGATGTGTCATGTCCCAATTGGAACTGGAATCTTCTGGAAACCTGCAGATAACCTTTGATGTGCATCTGATATACGGCCGTGGTTGACTACTAGGGCCTTGATTTTCCAAGAGTCAACTGTCTAGCGTGGGGGTACTGGACGCATCTTTTGACTCAGGGCCTCGTACCCCTTGACCCTAGGACTTTTCCCAGGCCTTTCTGAGACTGTGGACGTGACCTTTGACCCCTGAAACTGGGCTTTGACCAAAAGTTATGATCCCTGCTTTTATCTGTGCGGATTTGAACCGAGTTTATTACAATTGAAAGGATTTCACACGTATAAGCATGCTGTTCCAAGTCCCGTTCATGAAGTTCCAGTCCCATGTACCATAGCACCATTACGGCAGATAGGATAGCTATGTCTCGGTCGTAGGCCAGTAGTCCAGTGGGCCCAGTTGCACCGGTAGTCTAGTAGTCCAGTCAGTCAGTCCAGTCTGTTCAGCAGCTCAGTCCCAGGAAAGTCAGGGAACTCTACAGATGCCTTGAAGACCAGCATCAGCCAACAACTGAGGGTAGAGGTTGGAGACTGAAACGTCAGATACACATGTCCCACTGCAGCAAAGCATCAACACATTCGAAATTGTTCCAGAAGCACTGCTGCGGTCTATCGAGTGAGGCTGGAAAAAGTCGAGGAGGATTGTCGACGACGCCCAGCGCCACAGCTTAGCTTGAGGGGGAGAGAGATTGAGGAAGACATTCAGAGAATTTGAGCGAGGCCTGAGGGTTGAGAAGAGCTGAGGGAGAGAGAAAGACAGTTTATACCTGAGTGTTGTTGTTTGGCGGCCACAGCCGTGTCCCTGTGTACATGCAACTTGCTGTATAAGACATTGGTGTGGACTTCCGTGTGATGAAGTGTGACTCTTGTGTGCCGTGAGTTGCTGTATGACACGTGGTGCCATTGCATTATGAGGAAGCTTTGCCAAATGAAATAATTCCAAGCAGTAATATGGACTGCAAAAGATAGACATAACACTATGTTCTCCCCAGACTTTGTTTCGAGGTCATTACCAGTTTTCTAACTTTTTTTTTTTTTTAACCTTTTTTTTTTTTTTTTTTTTTAACAAATAGCGTGTTCCATTATATAAAGAGCCCAAGGAGGCCGGGAATCCCTCCACATCTCAACCCGGATGACTGGGGCCATTACCCTGATTAGGCTAGTATTGCGGGGTGGTTCCTGTGCTCCTGCAAAACCCTCCCACCTCCTAGCAATTTAGGATAAACCACTGCCCCAATCTGGATCCGCTCCCTAACGGAGGTTCACCACTTTCCATGATGAAGTCCCGGCGGACCTATGCTCACCAATTCATCTCATAAAATCAGATGGTACCGGTACCGTTCACTTTCAGGCTCAGCGAGCGCAGGGCATTTTTAGGCTCGGCATCAATAACTGAGAAAGGTATTGGTGGTTTAAACCACCAGTACTTCCCAAAGGCACTACTCATATATGGCTGCCGGGCTGCGACTTTCGGCGTGAACGAGCCTGGGGTGCTGGTGCAAATTCAGTCAAGTGGAAATGCCACCGTTTTTTCATTTGGCTAGTCGTATACAAGGCGCAACTTGCGAAAGTACTGGTGGTTTAAACATGCTACTGCAAGCCTATATGAGGAATGCACTTCTAGGTATGAGGAATGTTGCATATCCAGAAGGCTGCCCATCCCCCACTTCATAACACCTTTGCCAAACTTATTGTCTAGAACATAAAACATGTGACCCGAATGGCTGCGTCCCCGCGTTAAACGCGGTATAACAGTGTGCAGAAATGGTGTAATCCCGATAGCAGGATTTAGACCCATTTTCGGAAAGCACAGACGAGAAACAGTGGGAAAAGCAGGAGCGGGCAGAGAGGCACACGTGGCGCGCGCGCGCGCGCGCGAGAGAGAGAGAGAGAGAGAGAGAAGGAGACAGACAGACAGACAGACAGACAGACAGACAGACAGACAGACAGACAGACAGACAGACAGACAGACAGACAGACAGACAGACAGACAGACAGANGGACGGACGGACGGACGGACAGACAGACAGACAGACAGACAGACAGACAGACAGACAGACAGACAGACAGACAGACAGACAGACACAGAGAGAGAGAGAGACCGAGACAGACAGAGAGAGAGAGAGAGAGAAGTCTTCTCTCTCTCAAGTTGGTGCCTTGAGCAGATAACGCCAATCAGGTAATAGGTCCAGACCATCCAAACGGAATTCCAGCTATGGTGCACAGGGGATAGGCATGTCAACCTCCTCCACGGCCCACAACTCCCTGCACTCCGCCTGTCTGCCTATCCCCTGTGCCTAGCTCTACTCTTACCCAGCGCTCCAGCAGCCTTGGAGAATCTATGTCCAAAACTTGAATGCATGAATCCCCAAATGCCTGGCCCAGCCATAGATACGTACGGAGGCTGGGCCAAGCCTCCTCTGATCCAGCAATCCTGAACCATATAATGTTCTTGGGACCTGGGTCCAGGTACCTCGATGCACCAGCAGCTACCTGCAGCCCATATTTGAAGCCTCCAGAGGACCAATAGCCTTTTTGCATAAACCGGCATGCTGGACAAACTAACTCGAGTCCTAATGTGGAGAACGTTTCCCAGGCCTCCAACGGCCACCAATTGAACATACACTCCCAGAAGGCACCGCCACCACAAGGCACACTAGGAAAAACTTGTGCATGTCCAAACTCAGACAAAAAGAAGAACAGGCAAAAACTCCGCAAACAAAACAACACATCACCACATAAATATTAATTTTTATTTTTTTTACTTTTTTTTAAAACAAAACAGGTCCTAATGGCCCTGGCTCCATTTCCATTCTGGGGAGCATCGGTCCGGTTCCTATTCCACCGGCAAGTCAGAATAAAATATTACATCATGAAATAATGCAGATAGGGACAAACCAAGAACGCTAAAAAGAAAAATAAGAGCAATGAACATCCCAAACTGCTTCTGGTCCAAAGTGAGGGGTTGGCCAAGGTATGGACCAATAGCCTCCAGGCCTGTGCCCGGTGTGGCCAGGGCCTCAACATACAACAAGAGAGACGAAGAGAGAACAGAGAAAGAGATCAAGAGAAGCAACAATGTCCATGCACATTGGACAGTTTGAATTGCAGATTCATGCACCTGAAAGAGTTCATGTAGCATTGTTCCCATAAGTGCCGGTCCACTTGTCTCAACGCTTTTGAGGCGCTCATCTAGCACAACCCGCCTAGCACACCCAAAGCTGGCACCCACCTGTAGAGAACAGCATTAAGGCCACAGGAGGAAATCAGATTGTCAACTTCAAACGAACATTCAAAAAAAAAAAAATCAAACAAACAAAGAAACAAGAAGAAGGCAATGGCCTTGAACTATCACCATCAAACTAACTAGCCCCAGGTAATTCAGCGCTGTGACTAGCCCCAGGTAATTCAGAGCTACGTCATTCATCTGATCCCAGCAGGAGTGGAACCCAGGTCTGTTTAACAGTTCATTGGCAGTAACCATTCAGCCGCATGGAATGAGTAACCGAACTGTCTGTTAACGAGTATTAGTGTAACGAGTTAAATGAACCCAGTCGTATTGAGAAGCCAATCAGTGTCGTGATACAAGTCTGAACCCAGCAGACAAAATACTGTCTCCAAAATCGATTATATGTCCAAGCCCAGCATATATGCACTTCCCAAGAGCACCGTGACTTCAGAGAAGAGAATGAGATAGTGGGGAGAAGAGAGAGAGGAGGGTCTCATTTGTCACTCCCACTAGAGACACCACTGCCACTATTGGCACAAAGAGTGTGGGAACGGCCGAGGCCGGGGGAAGGGCCACAGCGCTGTTGGCCTGTTTTCGCTGTGAGGTCGGGGGTTCGACGCTTCAGATGTATCCAAAAAGGTCACGGTGCGAGTACACCCTCGATTTGCCCTTTTTCTTTTTCTGCCTTCGACACAGCTCTGGCCACGGTTGCCAGCAGGTAAACCCTGTGCTGTATGCAATTGCAGTCAGATGCATCCAGAATGGTCACGGTGGGAATATGGCTTTTTTTTTCGTGTGCCCATTGCAGTCAGATGCATCCAGAAAAGGCCGTGGTGGGAGTGTGCCCTTTTTTTTCATGCGCCGATCTTGGGGCCTGTCACTTGATGTTTTCGCTTCCTTTTTTTCTCCCCGTGTGGATTTTGGGACTATATCGTGACAGCTGTGGTGTTGTGCTCGCTCTTCGTTTCTGCTGCCAAAATCGGCACGTGGTTACCTGGTGCGCCAAGGGAAGAAAATAAGATATGCTTGCAACCGGGTCCCAAGCTCTAACCAGTGTGGAGCACTCGAAAGAAAGAAAAAGGTATCGAAGTTGTTTCCCTACTTCTCTCGGAGATTCAAGCTCGGGTCCATGTTTTGACTGTCGGAGGGTGTGCCATTCACCAATACGGGCTTGGGCTTTTTGTTTTTCATGGAGTACTTTTTTTCCCAGGGTCATCTGTACCACACACCCCATGTAGCATCGCCACCCTGGCCCATGCCCGCATAGTACTGCCGGCTCCACATAGTATGACCTTGCGTTGCATAGTACCCCAAACCTGCATCCCACATAGCGCCTCCCGGTCTACATGGTATGAACCACCCCCCCCCAACGTGCATAGTATCGCCCATGCCACACTCAGCCCACATAGTGCTGGCTGGTGGCCACAAAGGCCAAATTATGTGTCATGTTTGCCGTATGTTCCCTTTTTTTTTGCATGGTCGTGTTTGTCTTCTTTTTTTTGGGTGGAACCATCCGGTCTACATAGTACGGCCTGACATCATCCAGGCCATATAATACCGCCCTGCCCGCATAGCACTGTCGCTGTGCCAACAGCAGGGTTGTGCCTGGGTGCTTTTCTGTTTTTTTTTTTGGGGGGGGRGGGGGGGGGGGGGGGGTGGATGTGTGGCTGTACATCTGTTTAACGCTGTGTGTGCTGGCCTCATCCAGTCTGCATGGTATGACCCACCCCATGTGGTACTGCCTCACCCACTCAGTGTGGGAGGACCAGGTGTGCGCCGCAGGCGTAGCCCCGGCGGGCATCCACTTGTTTTTAATAATGTCAAGTTGTGAACCTGTTCCTTCTCATCGCACCGGGGGCGTAATTGACAAAGCAGTGTGCAATGACTTGCTGTTTTCTGGTCGTCTGTAGCCTCTCTCTGTCGAGGCTGTACTATAGGTAGGACAGATTCGCAATTTTGTTTGGCTGAGGGCTAACCGAGAGACCTACCTGTGAGGGAAATTCGAGAGGGAAAATACAGGCCCGGTACTAACAGGATTCCCTACAGCTACCCTAACTGCGAATAGCAGGCCCGGGCTACCCCTAGGACAGACAGGGCAACCGGTACCATATCTATTTCGGCCTCTCGGCCTCTACCGGACCCGGCTATAGGCTTCCCACCCAGGAAGTCTTCCGACACTTCGTCATCATCAGATACTGTGGCGCTGGTCTTCTTCTTCATCCTCTGAGTGGCGCTTGGCCTCAGCGGCCTGTTTCAGGGTGGCGCTGCCCCCAGGAGGCTGTATCTGGGTGGCGCTTGATGGTTCAGGGACTCAGGGGGTGTTACGGGTGCTAATCAGGGTTGGGGAGTGAAGCGCTGCTCATTACTGAGCAGCGCACTGTGGTACTGAAGTTATCCTGACAGTTCGAGACTCTGAGTTTAATAAACAGTGTAATACTGTGTTTGGACTATCATCGTTTCATTGTTTCATGGATGTGATCTTCTCGGCTTTCCTTTATGACTGGTTGTGAGGATTGAGTGGAGTGAATTGCACATTCAGTGTACCCTGTCATATCGCATGGTCAAGTCTTCCGCTGTGTTTATCTCTCCCTATGCAGTGTGATACTCCTATCCTCTCCCCTTCCTTCTGTGTATGTATGGGCATATCCGGAAGTCTATGTGAGTGAGTGTTGGCCTTCAGGCGACGAACAACCAGAATCATAACAAGTGGGTGATAGACAAAACAGAGGCTCTTGAGGAGAGAGTCCGAGAGACGCTATGTGGTTCAGACTTACCCGTGATCCAGATATCAGAACGTATGGATGCAAAATGAGCAAATTCTTCTCACGGTCCACCACACACTCTGAGACCCCAGGAGCATCTTCTCGTGGTGCAAATTCGCCAACAACATTTACGAGATCACCAACCTCTACAGTCGAATAAATCCTGAAGGCCACCACGAAACAAGCCACACATTCAAGATATTTTACACCAGCCTCCACGTCGCACATATTTGGTTGTCTTGACCATTAGCTGGGAAACAAGGATGACAGCCTGAAACAAGAAAGAGCAGAACGACATCCTCTCACCCACCTGAATCACCTGGGGCCACACAGTTCCACAGTGATACCTTAAGGCTGTTGCCCTTTAAAAAAAAAAAAAAAAAAAAAAAAAAAAAAAAAAAAAAAAAAGGTAAAGAAAGGACAACATGAACAGAACACATTCAGACAGGCCAATGACATTGTCTTTGTCCTCCTCCTCCTTGTCGCTGTCACCGTTGTCATCATCATTGTAATCATTATCATTAGCATTGTCATCATCTCCAGCATCCCCATCTTCATCATCATCATCACAGTTTCCATCCCTGCTCTCATCTTCAACACCATCATCCCTTCATTACCAGTGTACTATTGTGGTAATAACCTTGTGACACAATGGCTTGCTGGATGTGTGACGTTCGTCGGCTCAGAAGGGTCTGCTTGTACATCGCTTACCATTCATCTCGCAGACAGATAAACTTCTCTAAATCGCCTTCGCAGTGATCCTCAGCAACCACTCGCAGGACCTGCGAAGAACAAAACAGCTCACGTAGCAGTAGGAGCAGTGTCATGGTCTTCACTGGACATCATAATAGGTTCTTTAGCTGAAATTACACCTCATGATAACATTTTTTCAAAAAATTCCTCCTGGTTTTTCTGAAATGAGCTCAGTGGTCACTCCGGCATGCCTCGCGTACAAAAAAATTGAAAATTTTCTACGGGCATTGTACGGAGGTTGTGCTCCATGTTGTACTCCATTGTACTCTACCCACAGCACCACAGCTTGATGCTGATCTTCCCCAACTACAGCCAGAGGATTGTAATTATACCAGCGAAGGAGGCTTTACCGTTGCTGTCCTACAAGTAGCAATGACGAACCGTCAACTTGAACTACGCAACGCTCGAGCAGGTGAGTGGTTTAATCCTCCATCCCACATCTCTGCCTGCATTGTGCACGGCCCTGGCCATTACATGGCCATTGTACATGCCTCTGACCACTGGGAGCTGTAAGACAACGGCACCATGCTCCATGCCATGACTGATGTCACTGATCTCTTACAAAATGATGCTGTTTTATTGCCATGAAAATTCAGAAAAAAAATATGTGATAGAAGACATTATTCTGAACAAGCTTTGCCTCAGACAAACACTGAAATTCGCAACCAATTTTGAGATAAAAATCAAAAACGAAAAAGAAGGAAAAAAAAGCAGTTTTGTAAGCACGTACAAACGCTTACAAAAGAAAAAAATCATGCCTAGCACGGGGGGAGTAATACTCATGTCTACATGCATTGCGTACAACGGGATGCCCAGCCCTCCATTTCTCTTTTTTCCTTTTACTTTCTGAAACGGGCAACCCGCAACATTACCATATGGAAAAAGGGCTTTGAACCTTTGATCTACTTGTTGACAGTTAAATCTCCATGTTATTAAGACACGAGGTACAGGGTCTTATTCTATGGGATCACCCTCGCCAGAAGTGTCCACCAGGCTCCTTGCTGTTTTCGCATGAAAATGTCCACCAGGCTCCTTGCTGTTTTGGTCCGTCGTGAACGCCAAGAGTTTCTCGAAGAGTCCACCAGGCTCCTTGCTGTTTCGGTCCGTCGTGAGCGCCAAGAGTTTCTCGAAGAGCCCACCAGGCTCCTTGCTGTTTTCGCATGAAAATGCATAGAGCGCTCGTAAACAGCTGTTCGGGAAAACTGTGCGCCTGGAGTTCCTGTCACATGACATGTAGGCTAAATGGAACCCCATTCTTGGGAAACGTGCATCCACATTCTGTGGAGTGTAGTCAAAATCACAGCCAATCAACATTCCTTGGAGGCATATGAGATGTAGTCCTTAAAGGCTTAAATACTGAGCGCCCATCTTCCCGCCATGGAGAGTCGCTTCGCTTTACCATTTCAGCATAGATATACACGACTGACCAAGGCCCCTATTAATCCGGGTAACTGCTAACTAAAAGGAATGTTCTTGTCTGTATCAGTTCCGAGCACCGTGACCTCAGTGTCATATACTATTTGGATATGCTGTATCGCCTTGCGCACATGGCAGAGCCACTGCGGGCTGCTTGCGTTATACCCCACCAAACCAGCAGAATGTCAACTATCTGCACACTGTGGTTCTTTGGCAAGTAAAAGAATTCAAATAAAGAAAACAAAAAACGAATGAGTACACATACTTAACCACTTGTGGTACTACACCATAAAAAGATGACAGGAACAATGACGTTTTGGGCATTTTGGCTGAGATCAAGTGTTGCATCTCTGGGTTCTGTTCTCGCCGGTTTGGTATCTGATCCGAGATCCATCAGAATGCACGATATTGGACTGCTTTTTCAGGGCCACAGGTCATCCCTCCAGCTACGAATTTCCTGGATGTACCTGGCCGCAATCACCACCAGAGATCAGTTGGAAAAGCAATATTGTGAGCATGCCCTCAATGTCATATATTGCGCACAATACCATCGAAATTTTTGGAGTACTGCAATAACCCATGCCATATGTCTCGTGGAACTGAGGGCCATCAGAAGGCCTACTTGGCCGCCCTCAGCCCAGGCCGAACAAGGGCAGAAAAGGCCCTTCACGAATTCAGGGCCTGGACGTGTGACAGTTGACTTTGGTCAACTGTCGGTCCACCCAACAGTCAAAGTCCAAAGGTACCTGGCCCAGGCCGCAGGTCAAGCACACACACTTGTTTGTACGCAGGTACCCAGACAGCATCAGGTCCAAGGGAGAAGTCTGCAACTGTATAATCCGGGCCTTCAGCTGTGAGTCAATCTGGACGACTGAGGGGAAATGCACCAAGGCCAGACAGCTTCGCTGACTACTACTTAAGGCTGGCCTCGAGGAAGTCAAGGCATTCAGTCTTGCTATGCTGCTTTGACGCTGGCTCAACTTTGACTAGACGCTGGTTTCATGCTGGCGCGACGCTGGCTACATGATGGCTGTGCACAGGCGCTGCGGGCGACAGCACGAGGTGGAGGCAGCATGCTGGCGCTTCCTCACTGCGCCAGGCTAAGCTGATGTGGCGCTGCCTCCGGTTTTTGTAGCGCTGCCTTTGGTCTATGTGGCATGCTGATGTGGTGCTGCCCCTGGTCTTTATGGCGCTGCCTTTGATCTACGTGGCATGCTGATGTGGCGCTGCCTTGGTCTTCATTGAAGATGTGGCGTATGCCACTTGTCTCGACTGCTGACGTGGCATTGTCCTCGTGGTCTACATGAGGTGACTGGTTGCGAGGAGGAGGAAGATCAGGATCTGTGGATGAAGGAGGTCGGGTACTCACCTGAGGTTGACGTCGTCGCTGGAATCTGCTATGTCTTCATGGTCTTCACGAGATTAAGTGCCACGTGGCACTATTGTGTGTGATCAGGAATATACTTATTATCATTGTTGATGTGGAGAGGGAAGAAGCCTGAGAAGAAGAGGGAAAGGGATTATTACTGTGTGATCTCTCATCTTCTCCTTTGTCTGTTCCCCCTCCACTCTCTTCCTTTTGATGATAATGAGATACTGTTTGAGTTATCACTTCTCGATTCGGAGACTGTGATGCAGATATTGAGACTACTGATATTTGACGACTTCTGAGTATCTGCCAGACTGGGTTCATTACAGTACGATTCTCACAGAAATCAAAATGAGAGGATAACAAATTTTCCTCCACAGATAGTGAACCACTAATCATTGGTTACGAGAACAAACTTCAAAGGTCAGCACAGAGTACATATACGTTCTTCTGGATCCACCTTCATTTTTTAGAGAAGGTTTGTCAGAGAAATAAAACAAAAAGAGACTGACCTTCTGAGACCTCAGGTGCTGACTCCCCTCACTCGGATAGTCAGAGTCAATGACCTGCAGAAACATGTCAAGCCAGCCAGCCAGCAACTTCAGCCACAATTCTATCAACCATCAGGCTTTCCTGTGGAAGCCAAGATCTGCGATAAAACGATCAAAACCGATGCGTAAATGTGCATCCAACATTCTCAGCTTTAATGTGTATAGATTCTCTACAGCTGTACACTACCGTCTTCACCCGAATAGAACGCCCAGTCATCATAGACGTATCGTGGGCAACTTTCCATCCAGATGCATGCGTTCTATTGGGGTGAAGACGGTAGCAGCCCAGCGTGAGCGCAGCATAAGGGCAAGACGTATGCACATGCAATTAACCATACAGACATGATAGCATACAACTCATGTCGGTCGTACATATCGACCGGCAAAGATGCATTGCCCAAACTTTGTATCACACAATATCAGAGAGAGAGAGAGAGAGAGGAAGAGAGAGAGACAGAGAGAGAGAGACATTGTGCAAGCACAGCTGAACTATTCACCTTGCAGATCGAAGAAGCAATTGTGGCCTTGGGAACCAACGTGTGAAAGTTTACTGCAATTGCATGGCTGTTGATTTATCTTGTGGTATTGATCGTAGAGCATATATTTAACCAGAGCTCTCCTGACAGTAACTGGGGTTGAACAGTTATTGATTCATACATTCCATTCGCCCGTCTTTTTTGCATTTGAAAACACCTGGGATGCTTACTGTTGTTTCGGGTCAAAGTCAAACGATGAAACATGCAATGCCCTAGCTGCATATCGCAGAATACCAGACATTGCCCTATGGATGGAGAAAGAGGGGGGGGGGAGAGGGGGGAGGGAGGAAGAGAGAGAGAGAGAGAGAGAGAGAGAGAGAGAGAGAGAGAGAGAGAGAGAGAGAGAGAGAGAGAGAGAGAGAGAGAAGTGAAGCTCTAGTGATCAGTAATACAGATGATTGAGAATATTTGTGTACACGGTTCCGCTGATTCTTACCTCAAGCACTTTGAAGTCAGTCTGTCCATTCTTAAGCATTTGTTTGTTTTCTCCTTCACTTTCGTCAACACCCAGCAGCTCATTGTTGTTTCCGCTTGCAATTTCTGGCTTTGCAGTGCTCTCAATCCCTGCTCTCAGTGTCCCTTGTTTGTCAGCATTGTCCTCAATGCGTGCTGAACCACTGCATTCTCTCACTGCCTGTCCATTTTGTCGCTGAATAGCAGACGTTGTGCCATCATCATCATCCGCATCCAACTTCTCTTCCCTGGTCTCTCCGGATTTGGAGCAGCACGGTTGCAGGCCTATAGTCCCCCGAGTCGTTCTAGCAGGTACACCATTACCCACCGTCCTTGTTGAAGAAATGTTCTGAGCACCGGCATGTGAACCACATTCATCACCGTTTTTCTCTCTCATGCCCGACCCACCCACAGCAGACGCCTTCTCCAACAGGCAGATACGCTTCTCCTTGTCCCCACTCTCTTCGGCAAATACACGTATCTCCTTCTCAATGTGGCAAATTTGCTGTTTTTTAGCACGAGTCACGGTCGTTGCTTGAGATTTTTCACGACAGTGGACATCATAGGCTTCGGTGTTTGCTTCTCCACCCCTCCATATCGCTGCTTCCCCTGCAACTCCATGCATCCCCCCTCCTGGCGCACGTTCATGTACTTCCTTGCTGGCTGTCCCTCCAGCAAAGCCATTGGCGCTGGCAGTCGTGCAAGAGCAGCCCCGTTCATGGCAGATATCGCACAGCTTTCCACGCTCCAGAATATCAAACGCACCTTCAGATACTGCCTTCTCCCAATCGAAATCAGAAAATAAATCCAGAGCCGCGGTGGTCCCTAGGGCGCTCACCTTGCCTGCAAGAGAGGGCAACTTGTCTTGTGAAGTGTTTGGCACTGCAACTATGTTTTCTTTGCAAGGTGAATGTCTCTCAGCGATTCCAGTGTCCTTCATCTGAGTTTCTTCCGCAGGCACAACAGCAGGCAGATCGCTGTCAGTGACAGCACTTTGTCCATTTTCTCCATTAGCCCGCTTGCTGCCATCATCGCTGCGGTCACAGTGAACACCATGCTCACCATGCTCATCTCCTCGCCTACCATCCTCAGCCTCCTTGAGGCCATCTTTATTCGTGCTGTCAACATGGCAAAGAGACTTTCTGTCGTGCTCCTCGTGTTCCTCACTTGATGGCTTTGGCAGCGTCTGTCCCTTCTGCTTCTGCCGACTTCGTGAAGTCGAGACTGCACCCTCCACTTGGTCCAACAGGTCCAACAATGCCTGTTGATCAAAACAGGTCCATCAAAACTGTACATCATGGATGCATACATCAGCTGTAAAAGCAAGGACAACAATGCAACAGGGAGGCGCATTTGGCACATCCAGAACGTACTCACACCAGGACTTTTCTTTGATGCATTTGACAGCAATTACAGGCAGATTCGCTTCAAAATCCAAGTATGAGTATGCCCTCACAGGTCCTACCTGACTAGGAAAGGATCCTGCGGGTGAAGGACCACAAGCGATACCATCTTTCACCCAAAACTGAGTGCCCGTTGGCATTAGGACTGAACCAGAATAGGGCCTGATATCACTAGCATAACGATCCAAATGCCCGTACAGCAATCAAGACTGTCCGGAATGGGGTCCCCAAAAGAGCAGTGAAAATCCCTGTCGAGAACTGGGGCGAACACTGAAAACTCAAAACACAAAATAGGGGGTGAGGTGGCACAGGGCGTTCGTATACATTGTTGATCATGCCAGAAAAAATACTGCTGCATTTCTTAAAAGTGCAAGGAACATGAGTATGGACGAAGCACAGAAATCCAGAAAGCAAAATCACACTGAAGTCCAAGTATTCAAAGCCAAGGCAGATAGCACATGGAACCGAGTAACCATCCAATTGAGAATGATACAGAAGAATCGTGAGTCAATGTCCATGCCCATCAGGGCAACACCAACAGC